CTCTCAGGAGGGAAATAGTTGCTGAGTTACTTATGCTGTTCATGAGGGTACTGTTGTGTCTGTGCTTTGTCCTCCGATGTGGACAAATTATATTGTTGCATATGTGAGTTATGTGGGGTATAAACAAATACATCAGTTCACTCCCTAATTGGCTTTCTTTCTGAAACTATAGCCAGAACATAGCTTGCACTATCAAATATGAAAGAGCAATATAATTGAATGAAAAAGAAAGCCCAAGGACAATCCAAGAATAATATAAACATAAGTTATTTTAAAACATTGGAGGGAGTGCTTTATGCAAAAGAGAAACTGGATTTATTGTTTCATTCCCTCTTCTCCCCCTTCACCCCTTTCAGGAAAAGGCAAAGCCACAAGTGAGTGGCTGTATGTGTCTGATGGCTTATATAAACATAGAAGAAGCCCTCAGATGGCTAAAATAAACATGCGCGTGTTACTGAAGGATATGTTTACACAAACCATTTGCTCAGCCTCTGAAATAATGAATAAATGAAGATTTTACTGAAATAATTGGAAGGGTTTTTGTGTTTCGGCTGATGCCATAATTGAATGGCACCAAAGAGACTTTTTATCAGCTATTTTCCATGTTACATGTGTTAGCAGTTCCTTTCTATGAGTTGAATACTTCATTCTGTAGTTACTTTACACATGTTTTTGTAAGAAATTGTCGTTTATTACTGCAATTCTAGAGAGTTGCTTGATTTCCCAAGAGAAATTTAGCAGCCAGTAAAGATTATTTGGATCTGGTTGGTCAGAAGCAGGGGGGAGGGGGTGGGGGGACGCGAAAAGGAAGGAGTAGTAACATTCATTTCATACATATAATCTTATTTGCATAACACTATCCTGAACCTACTATTTTCCTTGCTTTGTCCATAAAATGTTCTTTGTAAAATATATATCCTCAATGGCTTCAGAATGAATATTTAAACAAAAATAATCTTCAATATAGGGTCACAAATCATATGTTTGTATGTAAATATGTATGTATGCATGAGTGTACATGTGTATACACACATGTGTACATATGCATGTGTGTATACACATGTATATACACATACATGTACATATGATACTTGTATGACAAAGGCAGTATGTGACCTATTCATAGGTAGTATTAAGAGTTAACTTTTATTTCAACATTACACTTAGACGATCCCTGCGAATTCACTAGGTTAGCATTTCCTGCTTTCAGTTTGTTATCTTGACACATAACTACAGTACAACAGCTGGGTTGTTCATGGAGTTCCTGGGGGGGGGGGGCTTTATTCTCAGAGTGCTGAATTTCCTTTTCAGCTGTCAGCTCTAAAGTGTGCTCAAAATGTTCAACTTTTTACACACCATTCTGGGCCCCTAGCACCACTCAGGGACTAGAGTAGAAATGTGAAGGTATATGAGCCCAAGAATCTTTGCTTCAAGGAGGAAGATTGCAAAAGCCAAACTTGCACACGACCATTGTTTGGTAACAGGGCTGCTAACTAGTGTTGCTCTTTGTATTTGAATAATCTATTTGAAAGAATTACTCCATTCTCATCAAAATCATTTGCACCTGTTGTGAAATCAAAACTAACAATGTGACTGTTCTTAAAAATGACATTATGTGATGTTCACCCACATGCAATATCTGTGATCTGGCTGTTGAAAAACACATTGGGATTTGTTGTAGTTTTGCCTAAGTTTCTCCATTTGTAAAGAAAGATTTGCACAACACAACGTTTCCTTTTTATCTAGGAAACTCTTCAGAACACTTCCTAAGAAATTAATTGTATTCCAGCCAGACT